CGGCAGTTTTGGGAGGTTTTTTTTGGAAGGAAGATAACCATAGGGAATAAGAGCTGGTATTTGAAAAGCTTAGATGGCCAGTTTCACTCTTGCACACACTTTCCCGATTCTGTTATGATCTTATAACATATGCAAAAAAGTTAGTTTTGGTGTTTTTTGGAGAATGGATGATATATTTTAATAGATTAAACACATGTAACAAATGTGCAACAAAGTGCATGTTTCTACTTTTGTGCACACATTTAAGGGACAGTGAGCCCACCCCTACGGGGGCGAGACCAGCCCACAGGCGCCACCCCCACGTGGGTGCGGGCAGCAGTGGCACTGGCCGCAGGTGCTGGCCGGAGCTCAGGGCAGCCACACGTCGTGGAGGAGCAAGGGCATTCAGCATGGGTGCAAACCAGGACGGACCATACCCTTAACGCAACGTGAGAAAAATGAAATCATTTGTATAAAAGATGTTCGTTGGATTATCTAATTTTGTTATTTCTGGGGAGAGGAGCTCCTGCTGGCTCTTTCTTCAACTCCTTGTGAAAAATAACACAGGACCCAAAAAAGCGACAACGCTTAATGTGGCTCTGATGAGAAGTAGCTCGTTTTCCTTGCTTGGGTGGAACAGTTTAATTTTTGGAAATGGATCAAGCAACTGTTACTCAGTATCTTAAACTCTTAATAAAAATAATGACTATTAAAAAAACATACTTTATGGCTACAGCTGCTGAGTGGTGGGTGAAAATCCTCTTCTTCCACATACTTCCTCTTAAAGTATGCGATCTTGGATGTTGTTAAAGGGTTTGAAATTCCCCTGAAATGTGATCCTGTAGTAATAAATCAGATATGACAAATGACATGCGGTTTGCCAGAGGTTCTCCAAACAAAATACTTTTCTTCCCTTTCCTTCTAGAAGATAACTTGGCTTTGTATCTGTCTGTACATGTGGCGATTAAAAATAAACACTTGTCTTAATAGTTGCTATCCTACAGAACCCTGTGACCCAGGCCAGCCTTCCTAGACAATTACAGAGGAAAAATGACATCTTTCAGCATTTACTAAATACTCAGATATTTTGTACAGGCAAACTCATAAGGGGGAGGAGTGTAACAACTCCGAAATAACATTAGCATTTATTCAAATTGTTTAATTAAATCCCAGGGTATCAACACCACTGTTCAAATACATACATTTTAAATTGTAAGCACTAATAATTACACAACTTTAAAATATTATTTGCTCTAGTTAAGGAAAGAAATAATTACCTGTACATTGAAATTATAATATTTGTTCTTTCAAAATATACAATTTTACATATATATTGAAATTTTGGGTAACCAAAGTCCTTTTTGCTCTCAAAAATGTAACATGTTAACCATGAATTCAAGTAGTGTCTAATTGTTAAAGACCACAGCTTTTAATCCTTTTTAGCAAAACAGACTTCACAGGTACTTGGTTTTGCACTGTAGGGTTTTTAAAATTGCTCGTACTGCACAAAAATCCAAAGGAACTTACCTGAAAATATTAGACTACGGAATCAGAAAGAACATATTTCTGTTTTCTGAGCTTTGCCACTTTCCCCTACAACACCAGAGCCAACTGTGTGCTTAATGAAAGGAAGAGACACAGAGCTAGCTGCTGGCCCCAAGTGCAGATTCCTTACTGTCTCATGGGATGAAGGTTTCATGGTCAAGCCCACTGGGGCTTGTCTAGCTCTGAGAACCATGCAGTTCCACAGGGTGGAAAACCAAAACCCAGACTGAGAGTTTCACGATCTGGTTTGGCTCTCTTAAAAATACAGACTCAGGACTTACACACAAAGCAGAAGCACATGTCCAGACTCAGATTTGAATGCAATTTAAATACCCTTCTGGTCCTCTCCCTGGGGCCCTGGGCTTACTTAAGAGAGGCACACAGGCAGCCTGGAAAGTCCCTGGAGCCGGCTCAGCTCCCAGAGGCGCTGCAGACACCACCTCCTCCCACCAGTCTGGCCTCAGAGGGCAGCAGGGGAAGGTCAAGAGCAGTACCTGCCAGCGGGGGGCCGGCTCCCCGGTCTCCCTGCAGAGGAGCCTGGGCTGGCCCTGGGGGGCTGGGACCTCCGTAGCTGTCAGCCTCCCATAGTGTCTGGTACCCTGGAATTTCAGCAGCTCCTTCCGAGACAATGGGCTCGCAGAATCTATTCATGGACAGAACCAGAGTCATCTCTGACAGCCTCAGATCTGAAAAAACAGAAAACAGCCCTAATCAAGAGGCAGCCAGGTGATGACGGCCTGGGCACCTTCCTCCCTTTGCTTTGGGAAACTTTTACTTCTCTGTCCTCCCCTTCGTCCTGAAACATTTCATTATTTGTTCAAAGAAACCCTCAGCAAACTCTCTTGCTGCTAGTAGCTCAGCCTCGGCGTTTGGCAATCTGCATTTCATGGGCGGATCTTTAAAACCCCATTTCTTATTGTTCTCAGATTCCCCTCAGCCCTCTTCGAGACAGCTGCTTTGCCTCCTAAACACATTTTCCTCCTGACCTTGCTGCAGAAAACGTACCGCTAGGAGGCAAGGCCAAAGCCCTTGCGCTTCCTTTCTATTAATAAGGCACAATCAATTTTCCAGCCAATCCCCTGAGAGTCTCCTTTGATGAAATCCGCTAATCAATCAAAGGGAAGGGGCAGGGGAGGCAGAAATCTCCACCGGAATCCTTATTGATGCTCTCGGGTTCGTCTGTTCCGCCGCCCCCTCCTCCTCTCGTTTCCGCAGGGCCAGTTCCTCTACAACATTCTGGGGCTCCCTCCACTTTCTTCTCCCAAAGCGAAGCAGACAGAGACACACTTGGTAGTTGTTTCCACCAGCCCTGATCGGCCTGAACTGGATCTGCCTCCAGTCAAAACACTGAGAGATGAAGACAGAAAATTGGCTCCAGTTTCAAGCCGTGAGTTGCAGTCCCACAGGAGCCAAGCACAACATCAACGGAGCAGGCAGAATATTAAACAGGAGCCAGGGTTTCGGGGGCCAGAGGCAGCCGGCAACTCTACACTACAAAGCCCAGACACAAGGCAGGAACTTTCCAAGAGGCAACACATCACTGCCCTTCTCTCCAGTTCACATCCTTCCCCAGGGCCTCCAGGGAGACAGGGAGCCTCTCTGCCCTGTGATGTGCCCTGGGCTCCTCCACAACTCAGGTGGGCCGCAGTGTCCTCACTTCATCATCCTAAGTAAGGCTCGAGGTAGGGTCGAGATTGAGTTCAAGGGATAAAAGGGTCTGACACTAAAGCAGAAGGACCTAGAGACCACAGATAGATCCGTGGGGACAGCAGAGCAGCCTCAGCTCCTTACTAAGTGCCAATTCCTTCAGGAGAGCCAAACCTCCCCCGTGTCACTTTGCAGTTTGAAGAAGTGTCACAAAGAGTGACGTCGGCCCTGCTTTCTGCAGCTTGATTGTCTTGCCTATGAGCCCGAAGGAGCTAGTCCTAGCTTTCTTCTCCAAATTCTACAGTTCATAATGTTTTGGGGAAAGGGTGAATCTCCTATTGTCTCCTGGGAGGCTGGTATTACCTACATGTTATAACAAGAGTCCACTTCCAGGTAAAAGACACCAGGGGCAGGGGAAAAAGCTTCATTAAAGTGACAATGTCCTTCTGGCTAAGAGCAGCTCTTGGCAGCAATAACTCCATCCTTCACCAGGCTTCTCTTTGGGATCCTGAATGCCATCCCAGCCTCCCTGAAGAAGGAAGCAAAGCCTTCTGACAGACAGGGGAGGTGTCCAGGTCAGTGGCTGGAATTTGGGCTTCTAAACCACCTACCCCTTCCCTTCTCTTTTCAAATGCTCTCCAAAGAGGCAGCAGCCAAAGCTTATTAGAAAATCTCATTACAAGAAGGGGGGAGAAAGGAGGTTCGATCAATTCTCTGAAAAGTGATGATGGCACGTGTTATTAATTTTGCTCTTGGAGACACCAGCCAAAACACTGAGACTACATCGATTGCACAAACTACACCATTCTGTCTGTCACCCCCTCAACTCGGTATCCAAACAAGGCATCCAACCTCATGATAATTTATTCCCTGGAAGACTCTCATGAAATGGTCCAAATTGAAATTCTTAACCTATTTTAAGACGATTGTATCAGGAAGTGCTATTGCCAGGAACACAGGAATCAGAGCTTTTTCACAGGCAGTAGCCCTCTCTTGGAGACTGCAGCGCTATTTTCCAGCTTGAAGTTTACCCTCCCTTTTGTGCTGGATTCTGGGAGTCAGATCCAAGTGTTTTGCCTAAGAACTTTTTATTGCATCCAAGCCAAAGCAGGTTGACAAATCCATGCCCCTTAGTAAAACAAGAAGGCCTCCGCAGGCCCCACGCAGCAATTACCTTTGTTTAAGAGGACGTTCTGTGGGCCCTGTGCTGTTTTATGTTAGTAAGAGTTGGTTTATGTTTTAAGGACTCATTGTTGTAGCTTTTTTGGTTGTTAAGGATTTCAGTGTTTCTATTTGCTAGTATTGTCTCCAGTACATAAAATTCTGTCATTAAGCCCTTGAACTTGATACACAAACTTGAAACACGGCAGAATTGGTTTTTATCTTGGCTGTTTTTTTTTCTTTATGATACCCAATTTCAGTAAGTTGTTTTTTTCCCCTGAATTGGACACTTTTACCCACAAAATCTTGACCTGGAAAGGCCAAGTTTCACCGTGATTTATATAAGTGAGAATAAAATATACAGGAGTTGAGATTACTTGCGAGTGGGGAGGAGATTTTGCAATTGAGTCTTCCTAGTCTACTTAGAATTTACAGTCGGGGATGTTAACAAATTAAGAAGGCAAGTTTAGGGTTCATGAAGAATTGGAGTGTGCAGCGCTACGCACCGATGTTTCACACGATTCTTTATTTGTGTTATATGTGCAGATCTAAACCATCATTGTACTCTGTATGGAGAGATTTACATAATTCTGCTAGTGAATTCAGAAGTTTAAATCCACAGATTTATATGCTGTTAGTATTACATATAGCCACTAAGATGCATATTAATGGCAAAATTTGCCTCACATGACAGGTGAGAGGATTCAAAAAAAGGGTGTTCCAAAAACACCCAAAAAAGAAGAGGAAGGAGGAAGAGAGGTTGGTGCTCTAGTGTGTTTAAAAAATTAGAAGGCTCTGACCTTTCCTCCTCACGCTCCTGCGGGCCTGTTCTATGAGCCAGGTGGATGCAGTGGAATGGCACCTCAAGCATTCCCAGGAGGCCGAGGGCGCAAATGTCAATCTTTCCCAGCAAAGCTCACAGTAAAGTTACCAGGCGTTTCTATGCAGTTTGGTTTTTCCAAAGGAGTGGGGCTGCTTTTTTCTCGGAGCCATTATGATGCTAATAGGAGTGGCTGGCACACCGAACCGGGTGGCTGCAGATTCAGTGGCACCTTGAATCTAGCAGGGGCCTCTGGTCATTCTCTGCCCAGCCCTCTCACATTTGTCATGGAAATTGGAGAACGTTTTATTAAGAGCATTGTGGCGGTCTGATTCCAATACTGAAAGGCGAGGAAGTAAAGGGCTGCTATTTGCAAAGCACCTTTGACACTGCCAGCCTTAAATGTCTTGCCCAGGTGGAACCAAGCCCAGACCTCAACATTGTCCCTAATAAGATCTCAACAGCTCGACCAGCTCTGGGGAGCGGTGGTCCAACTGTCGAGAAGAGGCTGGAGGGGCGGAATACAATCCTTCGAACCCTTCTGAATAGACAGACATCACTTTCCTGCCAGCCCTGGCAGTACACCTGTCTGTGCTGGGAAGTATATTTCTCAACAGTAGCTCCTGGGAGAGCCCAGTGGAGAACCAAGAGCTTTATTTAAGTCTGGCCCTGGTGCTGGGAATGCAGGTCCTGGGCCTTGGGGGGTTAGAGGGGGGTGGGGGCGTGGCGAGGGTGCCTGGGTGTCCAAGCACCAGCGCCAGGTCTCCCCATCTCAGGCCCAAGCCTGGGGTCCGAGGTTTGGAGAACCGACTTCCTGCAGGCAGGCTGGCAGCAGCCATCGGATGCTGGCTCCCAAACAGCCACACCCCCGGGGGTCGGGGCCTAAGCCTCCGAGCCCCTCTCTGGGGTGCGGAGCAGAGCCCTGCCTGCCACCGGCAGCAGGAGAAAGTAAACAACACCGCAAGTGTCTGGGAACAAAGGCAAGTTGTCTTTCCACGGTGCCCGAGTCCTGCGCCTCTCCTGAAGAATAAGAGCTATTATTATTCTTTCTTTTCTTATTCCTTTTTTTTTTTAACCAAGTTTCCTTCTAAGGGAAATAAACACCAAAGGTAGGATTCCAAGGAAATGACTCAGGGCGGTTGGCTGGGCTCTGGCGAGGCTGGCCCCAGTCTGCGCTCCAGCCCGCAGCCGATCCTGCCCGGCCCTCCCTTCCTCCCTCCCTGCCAAGCCGACTCCGCGCCGGAGGCTGCGGGAGCGCCCTGCGCGGCCGTAGCGCTGGGACTGCGGGGACACAGCCGCATCTCCCGCCCGCAAGTGCCCAGCCCGCGCCACACCCCATCTCCGCCGCCCCAGCCGGACACTCGGGAAAGTTGCGAGGGCCGAGGAGGCGGGAGGGGAGGAAAAGAGAGGGGCGGAGGCGTGGACCCGGCGGGCAGCAGCGGAGCCCGCCCGGGAGGTGAGCTGAGGACAGAAGAGCCGCCGCCGCCCGCAGCGCGGCTCGGCTGCCGGGGAGGAGAGTGCGCGGGCGGAGGTGGCGGGGACAGAAGGTGTCAGCTCCTGCAGCTATTCCTTTTCTAGTAAACGCGCGCTCCTGACATCCGCCATCCCCTCCCTCCCCACCTGCCAGGCGCCGCGGCGTCCAGACCCGGAGGCATCCCCCCTACTGGCCCTTGTCCCCTGGGATAAGGGAACAGGCAGCCACCCAGGACCCTGAGGTCTCGCCCGAGCAGCCGCCTCCACCAGTCCCTGGACTCGGCTCAGCGCGCGCAGGCGGCCGCGGTTCCCGCCCAGGGAAAGGCGCCTTGGCGCACTCCGGTCCCGCGACAGGCCCGTGCCACCTCCGCGCCCAGCGGCGCCCTGGCCGCATGCGTCCCCGCTCTGGCCTGCGCGAAACCACTCGGTGACCCCGGCGCTGCCCCGGTGCCCGGAGGCGCGCGGGAGGCCGCGTGGGTGCCGGTCCTGGCAGGCAGAGGCCCGGGGATCGGCCTCGGCCCTTCCGCCCCCGCCGCCCACGGCCAGCCCGGCTCTTACCGCGGGGTCAGCGGGAGGCGGCGGCCGCAGCTCTCCAGCTGCTCCCTGTCCGCTCGGGCTCCGCGCCAGCCCGGCCGCCGGTGCACAGTCGCGCGGGTCCCGCCCGGCTGCCCGGTCGGCGGTGGCCGTTGGTGCGCCGCGGGCGAGGGTCCGGGCAGGTCCCGCCGCCACGACTGGGGCGCCGCGCCGCCGTCGCTGCAGACGGTTATGGTAATGAGCGGCTCTGTCTAGCGAGGAGCGTGTGAAACCCGTCAATCCTGTTTGCCATTTCCCCGTGGATTTCCGAGGAGAGGTTGTGCAGGATGCCCCCAGGGTGAGAGAGGGAACATGACAAGCGCGCCCGCTCTCCCTCCCTCCCTCTGCTCCCGCCGCCGCCGCCGCCGCTCCTCAGGCAGCACACGGGGCGCCTTCCCCTCACCCCCACCCCAGCCCGCCCCCTGCCTGCTTCCCGCCCTCCCTCCCCCTCCTCCTCCCCCCGGTGCCCGGGGACACGCGGGCCCGGCTCCAGCCCGCAGCCCAGACCCCACGCGCTCCCGGCTCCCGCCCTAGCCCCGGGGGCTCGGCTCCAGCTGAATAATGTATTCACTCGGCAACCTTCTGAGATGTCTTCTCTCTTTTTAAATTTGGCTTAGTTTTGTTGTTGTTGTGTGTGCGTGTGACTAAAAAAAAAAAAATCTGTGCGTTCCCACCCTCTGCAAAAGACTTTCTTCTCCTTTGCCACAGCAAACGGAGATGAGAAACAGATGTCTTTGCAGGACCGAGCAGTTACTCCCCCCTCGCCGCCCGCCCCCGCCCGGTCCCCTCCGGAGCTGCAGGAGTATAAAAAAGCAACCTTGGTCTTGCTGCAACTTCAATTGGCAACACTTTCTGGCTGGGGAGCCTCCAGGGAAAACCTCCAGGAAATAAAAAAGTAATAAAGGAGGTTGTCCTTGGTCAAGAGAATGTAATTTAAACCACCCCGGAATCACATTATTTTGCAAATAGTAATTTTCCCCTATATTGGGCTCAATTGGAGTTTGTTTTTTGAAACATTAATTCATAACTTCTGTCTAGGGACCCCTCCGAAGTCGAGATGGGTCATTTCAGGTGTAATGAACGCAGAGGCTTGGAAGGCATAGACCTAATAAAATCAGGGGGAAGGCACCTGCACAAAAGTGTTACAAAGACTATAATGTTTGTTTACTGCTACTATGCCAGATGTGCTAAATATAACACTTCTTTAAAACAGTGATCCTCCGACTGTGGAAAACCAAACCCCTGGCTGCCAGGCTCCCCGGGAGTTAAGGAGAGGCACAGACTGAAAACCGGAGAGGAGAGGAGCAAGAGCAAGGATGAGGATTAGCATCTGCAAATTGAACTCTATCTGATTTGCATGTTTATTTCTTGGAATTGTAATTAAATTTGTGTAATAAATGTTTTCCATTTCATTTGTACACTTAAAATTTGGGCAACTGACATGCAGTTAAGTGAATTTCTTTTTTCTGAAAAAAAAAGCAAATGCAGTTTATTCAATAAAGCAGCAAACAAATATTAACTATAATTAGAACTAATCTGCTTTGAAGGTATTTTTGTTGAACTTTGTACATTAAAGACTCTCAGAGGTTTTAAGGGTATTAGGAAGCTGAGAGGAGGCAATTACACTGAAACAGACGAACTCCGCAGACTTCCCCCAGCAGTATTTCATTTTTTCCAAAAGACAGTTCAGGGTTGTGCACCTGAAGTTGGGGCTGGGCGTTCCTCTTGGCTTTCTTCTGAACCATATTGGATCTCATTGGCGCAGTATGAGCCAGTATGAGCTCAGTATGGAACGGTATAGACCATTATCTTGATAATTTAAGGATTGTAAAGATGCCAGTTTGTGCCAACAATAGGTCTTGCTTGCCCAGGTTGTGGGTAGAATATAATTTTTATTTGGGTGGGGGAGGAGGTCAAGAAAAGGCACAAGGGCATTTAAAGCAGCGCAAGAACTTGAACATCTAAATCTATCAAAAAGGGTTAGTGCTTAGCTCAAATGAACTAGATGTGAGGGCTTGGAGGCATGGCTTATTATTGTTTTTATCTTCCCATATTAAAGTTTTATAGCATTTAAAGGGCTGTGGGGAAATCCCCACATACACTTGGCTGTGTCAAAATACATAAAACCAAAAGGAGTAAATTAAGCATAAAATTGAGAAATAACATGAGACGAAGCACCGGCATGGGTTGCATTGGCATCTTTGGAGCTTTGGCTTTGGGAAATGAGCCTTCTGGGAAATCAGCCACTGCCCTTGGGTGGGGACGACTCTAGCTTTAATGTTACAGCAAAGTGACATCACAAGTATGAAATCATCGTACTTCACGGCACCCTCGTGGTTCTGAGTCTGAACTGGACCCCATCCTGTGCGGATGTGTGACGTTAGCATGTTTCACTGACAGCTTTTCCTGCCCTGCCTTTAATCTCAAGTTCATGTTTTCTGAGATTCGGTGGCCACTGTTGACAACGTGAACCAATGTCTACAAGCAAGAAAAGCTGTCAAATGAATGTCCATAGAATGAGAAACATCTAAAAATTATCTTAAAACATTATTAAAAGAAAAAAAAACAGCAATACATCTGATAAGGGGTTGATATCCAAAATTTATAAAGTACTTACAAAACTCAACACAAAACAACAAACAACCCAATTAAAATATGGGCAAAGGACCTGAATAGACACTTCTCTGAAGAGGGCCTACAGATGGCCAATAGACATATGAAAAGATGTTCAAGGTCACTCATCATCAGAAAGATGCAAATTAAAACTACATGAGATACCACCTCACACCTGTCAGAGTGGCTGTCATCAATAAATTAACAAACAACAAGTGCTGATGAGGATGTGGAGAAAGGGGGGCCTTTTTGCACTGTTGGTGGGACTGCAAACGGGTGCAGCCACTGTGGAAAGCAGTATGGAGATACCTCAAAAAATAAAAAATGGATCTGCCTTTTGACCCAGTGATCCTACTTCTGGGAATATATCCAAGGGAACCCAAAACACTAATGCAAAGCACCCCATGTTCATTGGAGTGTTATATACAATCGCCAAGATACAGAAGCAGCCCAACTGTCCATCAGTAGATGAGTGGATAAAACAACTATGGGACATTTACACAATGGAATACTACTCAGCCATAAAAAGAGGAGAATTTTACCCTTCGAGACAGCATGTATGGACCTGGAAAACATTATGCTAAGTGAAACAAGCCAGTCGGAGAAAGACAAATACCATGTGATTTCACTCATATATGGACTCTAATGAACAAACTGAACTAACAAGCAAAACAGAGACAGACTCATAGAGAGAGAGCAGGATGACAGCTGTGGGAGGTAGGGTTAGAGGGTGGAGGGATCAAGGAAAAAGGAAAAAGGACTGGAACATGGACAACAGTGTGGTGATTGATGCGGGGAGGAGGGCATAAGGGGACTAAATGGTAATGGGAAAAATACAGTGAAGATGAAATAAAAACAGAAAAATAAATAATGAGATATTTGAATGAGTTAATATAATTGAAAATGAGTTGAAACATTCATCTACAAAACATGACGTCATATTTTGGATGTGTGTGTGTGTGTGCATCCAAAGATAGAAATTAGATTATAAAGCTTAAAATACCTTGGACTGCAAACTCACTGAAGGCAGTGGTTGTTTTTCTTCAGTTACCGAAGACTGCCAGACTCAAAACTGCTAAAACGTATTTCACAAAAAGTTTCTGTCCTTTGAAAGGGGGATTTCTCAAGTCAAATCTGACTGATTCCAATTGCTGTGGACACAATGCTCATTTGGATGAATAAAACATCTGAACTTCTGGCTTTTAAAATGAAGCTCAACCTTCTTACAGCAAAAAGAGGTGTTTATGTTCAATTGCTCTGACAACTCTTTGCCAGTCTCACACCTTCTCCAGGTAGCTTTCTCATCCCATTGTCCTTCGGAACTGGGATTGTTAATGTCACCGATGACCTCCACATTGCTCAATCAGAAACCTTTTCCCGGTTGACATTTTCCTTGACCTTTAAGCAGCGTTTGACTAAGTCGGTAACTCCCTTTTCTTTGAAGCATCTTTTATCCTACTTCCAGGAAAACATACTCACCTGGTTTGCCCCTGTCTTACTGGTTCTTCCTTATCAGTCTCTGTTAGTGGTTTCTTGCCTCCTCTATGACCTCTGAACGTTGGAGTGCCTCCAGCTCAGTCCTTGAACATAGTGTCTTCCTTGCAGCCACTCTCCTGTAGATCTCATCCAGTTTCATGGCTTCGAATACCACCTTTATTCTGGCTCCCAAATTGAGGTCTCCAGTCCATACCTCTCTCCACTTAGATGTTTCTTAGATATCACAAGCTTTGCAGGTGTAAAACCTAACCCCTGATTTTCTCTGTTCCCCAACTATGCCACTCTTAATATTCTCCACTCCAGTTAATGAACCATACTATTTTTTTCAGTTGCTCATGCAAAACACCACCACCACCACCACCACCACCAAAGCCTTTGGAGTCATCCTTGACTCTTTTCTCCTTTATCCACTATATTGAATACATCAGAAACCCTTCACTCTTTACCTTTAACATTTGTCCAGACTTGGATCACTCGTCATCTCTGCTTCCACTGCCCTGGTCAAGCCACCAGCATCATCCCTTGCCTGGGATTTTTGCAGTAGCCTCCTAACTGGTCTCCCTGCTTCAGTCTTTGGCCCTTTTTACAGTTTAGTCTCAACTCAACAGTCAATGGCATCAATTTTCACTAAAACTCTTCCCAAGGCTCCCATTTCACCCAATGTAAAAGCCAAGTCCTCAAAATGGCCTGTCCAGGCAGGAAGTTTTCCTTTACTTCGCTGACCTATCACTGTCTCCAGCCAAGCTGGCTTCAATGTGTCACGCATGTGCTTGCCTCAGGACATTTGCACGGGCTATTCTCATTTCCTGGAATGCTCCTTTCTCAGCTAGCTGCACATCATGGCTTCACCTCTTCCA